AGGTTCAAATAAAGATTCAAATAAAAGTTAGTATACGTAACGGAAATGTCTGGATGTGTGTCAAAACCATTCATGCGTTTTGGGAGGAAGTTCGGGATATTGCCATTGGGAACGAATGTGAAAAATGTAGTCTGCTGTGTAAATCGAAAAGCTTGGAACCTCTCAAATATCTCACTCAAAAATGGGATGTGAATCAAGATGATAGTGAAGGAACGTCGTAGAAGGAAAAGNAGAGGACGATCCAAAGTGTCGTTCTATTAGAGGTTTTACGGTATGCATTTTAAAGCGAGTTATGCTTATTTTAGTTTGATTGCCTAGAAATCCACAACTAGGCCACATTGTTCCAAATTTGAATGCTCATATCTTGGCTCAAAATGTAAATTTTTGAAATCTGAAAACTGGTTTCAAATTTTCAAAGCCTGTTCTTCAACATTGTGTACAGAGATCCGAAGGGGACTCTCCGAAATCCATTCATTGAGAGGATTTTTGGAAAATACCCGAGAAAATTTAGACGTCTATTCAGTAAGTCGTCCTATGTAGCGAATGAGCGGTTAGATTCATTCTCGTTGGAGGTAAGCTGACCATCTGCTGTATTATGACGTGGTTGGCCATACAGTTCACTAATCTCTCTCATATTCCCATGATGAGAACCTGGTCTGTGGCGATGTTTTGACCCTTACCAGCCGCAATCCCAGAGGATTATCTCGCCGTGTAAAAGACATAGGAGTGGTGCGGAAGACTGAGGTCATCTTTATGAGCGTATGAACACATTTAGACACCTGTACAGCCCCACACACATGCACACATACGAAACAACGCAGCATGGTGTCAAAGAGAGTGTCAAGAGTGCATGCGATACACGAAAGGGCATTGATCGCTTCTTTGANTACACACCGGCCCGGCCCGTTACAAGTATGGTTTTTGGGTTCCAGAAATGTTGATTTTGAAGCAAGTCACTTCAATTTTAGTTCAGTGGCCTAGAAAACCAAAACTCGGCCATATTCATAACTCGCTTCAAAACCAATATTTTTAGAATCTGTAAACTGATTTGGACTTTTCTAAAGACGGTTTTAAGAACATGTAAATAACGGTCTAGTTTTCCCAGATTTTGGATTTCTAGGCAGTGTTTTAATTGTGGGCTAGAAAACCCGAACTCGCAAAATTATGTAGGTCACATTGTACATGAACCCATAGAGATAACACTGACGATTTCAAAACAGTTTTAAGATTTCTAATATTTTGGTTTTGACGCGAGTTATATCCATTGTAGTTTGGTGGCCTAGAAAACCAAAACTCGGCCATATTCATAACTCGCTTCAAAACAGACACTTTGAAACTTTGAAAACATGGTTCAACTTCACAGAACAAGAGCTTTCATTTCACCTATACCGTGGCCTGACTTTTGCAAGCTTTGGTTTTCTAGGCCACCAACTTAATACAGCTGTAACTTGGCTCAAAATCAACATTTTTGAGTTCTGAAATGAAAACTCACGGCTAGGATACTCTGGAATCAGCACGGCAACATAGACACCATACAGATAAGGCATTGCACCTTTAGCCATTGCATTCGACCACTGGATTACTGTATCATAGATGGTGCCCTTGTACCGTACCCTCTCCACAAGATACGCGGAGTCTTTTTCGATCAACTTCTCGTTTTTCAAACAATCCGAAAGCCAAGTGTCACGAACGATGATCACACCGCTGAGAATCCAGAATACCATTTCGATAGCATCACTTTCAAGAATTCCGTCTGAATCGGTTTTCACAATGCAGTGAGTGGTGGTTGGTTGGAAGAGCTTCGAAGGATGTCTGGAATCCAGTTGTTAGGTTTCAGAAACATTGATTTTGAAGAGAGTTATAGTGACATGAAAGTGGTGGCCTTGGAAACCAAATTGGGAAAAACTAGGCCATGTTGGATATAATTGAAAAATCCAAGTTTTGACAATTCTAAATCAGTTTTCAGATTTCAAAAGTAAGCGTTTTGAAGCGAGTTATAAACATTTTAGTTTGGTGGCCTAGAAACCCAAAACTAGGCCACATTGTTCCAAATTTGAAATGGTCATAACTTGGCCCAAAATCAATATTTTGGAAATCTAAAAACGGATTTGGGTGTGCCAAAATTTGAACAATATGCAATATGAACTAGTTTTCCAAAAAGTTGGTTTTCTAGGCCACCGACTTTCCAATGATCATAGCTCGCTTCTAAATTGTTATTTACAAGTCACAAAATATGATCTATAGAGCTCTATAAGTAAAAAATTTCATAAAATCTCTAGATTCAAAAATATCAATTTTGAACCGAGTTATAGCCATTTTAAGGTTGGTGGCCTAGAAATCTAAAACTAGGCCACATTATTTCAAAATTTAAATAGTCATAACTCGGCTCAAAATGAAGATTTTCAAAATTTAAAAACATAGTTAGATTTGTTACAATCTCTACTCTTCAACCATATGCAACATGGCCTAGTTTTCCAATAATACATTTGAGCACAGTGGCCTAGAAACCCAATATGCCGAAAAACTAGGCCATGATGTAGATGGTTCTAAAAAAACGTTTTGAGGGTTCAGAACCAGTTTTCAGATTTCAAAAATATCGATTTTGAAGCGAGTTATACCTATTTTAGTTTGGTGGCCTAGAAATCCAAAACTAGGCCACACAGTTCCTAATTTGAAATGCTCATAACTCAGCTCAAAATCAACAATTTTGAAATTAAGAAACAGTTCCAGGTTTGCCATGATCTGATTTTTCCGGCCATATGCAACACGGCCTAGTTTTCCCATATTTTGGTTTTCCAGGCCACCAACTTTCAAATGACCATGCCTCGCTTCTAAACTGAACTGCCAAATTTAAAAAATAGCTCTAAACTCAGCAAAATGCAAAAAATTTTAAACTCACAATACTCTGAAACTTTTTCATAAACTCGTTAGTCAACGCATCATCTACAGTATCCTCAATGTAAATATGGAATGAGCTCGACGGGAATTCTTCAGGCACTCGCGGACGGAATTTCTTGTTCCTATACTTTTTATAAACTCTCTCTACGTCTTCAAATTTTTCAGTGGCTTCTGTTTGTGTCGTTTGACTAATTCTCCAATTCTGAGGGATCATTTGTTCGGGTGTTTTGTTTTGTGCATTTAGGTAGGTACGGTCCGCCCCATTTTTGATCAGGATTTCAACGATATCTGGGTAGCCTCGTTTGGTTGCCACGTGGAGTGGAGTGTTGCCATGCTCTGGAAATTTTCAGATTTGAAAAATATTGATTTTGAAGCCAGTTATGCCCATTTTAAGTTTGGTGGCCTAGAAACCAAATTCTGAAAAACTAGGTCATGCTGTAAATTGGAAAGCACAGCTCGTAGCAAATCTAAAACCGTTTTCAGATTCCAAAAATATTGATTTTAAAGCGAGTTATACCCATTTTAAGTTTGGTGGCCTAGGAATCCAAAACACGGCCATCTTCATAACTCGCTTTAAGATCAATAATTTAAAAATCTAAAAACGGCGTTAGAGTCGACACAATCTTAGCCTTCCAACCATATCCAAAATGGCCTAGTTTTCCGGAAATTTGGATTTCAAGGCCACCAACTTCAAGTCGCTTAAACTCGCTTCAAAATCAACATTTTTTGAATTTTAAAAAAGTTTTGCAATTGTTAAAACAAGTGTTTCAAAAAATGTGTACCATGGCCTAGCTTTTGGATTTCTAGGCCACCGAGAAGACAGAAAACAAACATACGATTGAACACATTAATGTATGCTCCTTTTTTCAGGCGTTTCAACGTATTGGTGGGATTAATTTCTCGAACGGCATCGTGAAGTGCATTTTTACCCTCTACTCGATCCATGAACAGCTGAAAAATTGTTTTGGATTACTGTAGGTACAGTAATCCTCAAACTTCTTACCGAATATCTCCACCTTTTCTCGAAATCTTCTGGCTTCGCGAAATAATAGAAATAAAGTTTCCTGATTCGTTTTCTTCCAGACTTTGTTAATGCAAAAATCAAAACAACAGTAATCAGAATAGCCAAAAATACTGCTAAACAGATGAGTGCAGCTGTTAGGTAGTTGTGCTCAACTCTGAAAAAAAACACTTGGTGGTCTAGAAATTCAACAAACAGGAAATCTAGACCATGGCAAACATGGTATTGGAGAACAAGATTTGATAATCCCAAAGCAATTTTAATATTTCAAAAAGAATGATTTTGAAGCGAGTTATACTCATTTTAAGGTTGGTGGCCTAGAAAACGAAAATCTGCAAAAACTAGGTCATGGTGTGCAAGGCTTTGAAGAGCATGCCACGAGGGTTCCGAATATGTTTTTAGATTTTGAGAACACGGATTTTGAAGCAAGTTATGAATGTGGCCGAGTTTTGGATTCCTAGGCCACCACACTAAAATGGGTGCAACTTGACTCAAAGTCGGTATTTCTGAAATTGAAAAACGGATTTGGGTTTGCCATAACTTATACTTTCTAACCATATGCAACATGGCCTAGTTTTCACAAAATTGGATTCCTAGGCCACCAAATAAAAATGATCATAACTCGCTTCAAAATTGACATTTTTCTATTTTGAACAATGTTTTAAATTTGCCCAAACTTCCTCTTTTGAACCATATACGACATGGACTGATTTCCCAGATTTCACAAAATTTGGTTTTCTAGGCCACCAGCTTCCAATAGCTGTTGCTCGGCTCAAAATCAATATTTTTGAAATTTAAAAACTGTTCCAAATATCTCGAAATCTGGTTTTCCAATCAATACTTACTCATGGTGCGGATTCTCGCTGATCCCAAAAATGTCATCAAAATACAATCGAAGCTCGTCGAAACTCAACGAAGCGGCATGCAAATAACCCTTTTGACTAGCAAAATCCATATCGATTTGGGCCAATTTTTGAATTACTTCGAATTCTTTGTCTTTATCTGAAAAATACGCCGCAAGATACTTGAAAACTTCTGGAAATCCATGAACTTTTGTCGCGTCGTCCAGAATTTTTCGCATCGTTAAAAGTCCTTTATCCTTGATGGGACCCGCGAAATTGTTCAATTCTTTTAACTCGCTGACTAGTTTTTGGAATTTCTTCTGACGCTCTGGCCAGATGGTTTGAACGGATGGTGCTTTGACATATTGCATAGTTCGTGTGTTGAAGTTGCCAGAGAATTTGGTGGCCTCAAGGATTGTGTCCTGGAATATTTTCGGATCAGGTATATTGAAATTAGGCTATTCGATACAAAGCCCCTAATCTGACAAAATCAATACAATTTTCAGAGTCAAAAAATATTGACTTTGAAGCGAGTTATGGCCTAGAAATCCAAAATCTGATAAAACTAGGTCGTGATATATTTTGTTTGAAAGAGCTTGTTCTTTGAAATTCAGAACAGTTTTTAGATTTAAAAAATATTGATTTTGAAGCGAGTTATGTCGGTTTCAGTGTGGTGGCCTAGAAAACTAAAACTCGGCCAAATTTTACCAAATTTGATATAGTCATAACTTGGCTCAAAATCAACATTTTGAGGATCTAAAAATTGATTTGTAATTGTCAAAGCCTATTCTTCGTAAACGTGTACACCATGACCTAGTTTTTCCAGAACTTGGATTTCTAGGCCACCACACTAAAGTTATCATAATCAGCTGCAAAATTAACATTTTTGAGATTTGAAAACAATTTTAATTTTTGGAAGACATGAGCTTCCTAAACATATTCATAACGACCTACTCCCTCCGAAATTTGGGTTTCTAGGCCGAATGAAAGACGTGGCCTAGAATTTAAAGTTTTGCAAAAGTTAGATCACGGTGTATATGGGTTAAAAGAGGTTGTCTTACAAAATTCAAATCATTTTTCAGACTTCAAAAATATTGCGGTTGAAGCGAGTTATGCCTGTTTTAGTGTGGTGGCCTAGAAACCCAAAACTAGGCCAGGTTTTTCCAAACTTGAAGTGCTCATAACTTGGCTCAACATCAACATTTTCGAAATCTGAAAATTGATTCAATACTGTCAGAGCTAGTTTTTTTTATATCGTGTACACCATGGCCTAGTTTTGTCAAATTTGGGTTTCTAGGCCACCACTTTAAAACTGCTATAACTCGCTTCAAAGTCAATATTTTTGACTGCTCAAAACTTGTTGAATTAAGGACTTTTGAATAATAACCTAACTTTTGCTAATTTTGTCTCGAAACTTCTCGAATTGAGGACTTTTAGAAAATTATAATGTCCTAAATTTTTTTCTAGGCTACACCCACCCTTAAATTCCATGCCCTTGTCATATCCCTCAACACCATCATTCCTCTCCCAAGGCTCAAAATCATTTCTTGGGGATTCTCCAATTTCAGAATCGGATTATTTGGTTGATGTTTCTCCTTGTAATAATTGGGTCCAATATTTTTCACAAATTGCTCAGCCTCCGAAACGTGGTCCCGCATTACGGTAAACAGTTTCAGTACGTCTTGAATCTCTAGGATTTCAGCTCCATTCGAAACTGCGTGAACCGTCTTCAGATACGATGTGATATCTAGGAGAGTCCCCGGATCCGATTTCTCCAGCTTTTTGAAACATTCTCTGACGGATTTTATGGAGTTCAAAGTGTTGGTCGTGTTGGTAGCCATGACGTCTTTGTTGTAATTCTTTCTGCAAAAAGTTCGTAATTCGAGAATTCGAAAAATTTGTGGGCCAAATCAGTTTTTAGATTTCAAAAATATTGATTTTGAAACAAGTTATGAACGTGGCCGCGTTTTTGTTTTCTAGGCCACCACACTAAAATGGCCGTAACTCGCTGCAAGACCATTATTTTTGAAATATTGAAACTGATTCGGGACTGTCAAAACTTGTTCTTTAAAATCATGAACACCATGGTCTAACTTTTGTAAAACTTGGAATTCTAAGCCCCTCTGTTCAAGTGGCTCGGGTTTCTAGGTCATGACTTTTACGTTACCGAGGATTCCGAATTAAGCAGTTCAGAGGCGTAATGACCTAGAAAACCAAATCTTGCAAACTTAGTCCCCAAATGTATATCATTAGAAAGCTCATGTTTTGAGAATTTCAAACCATTTTTAAGACTTGAAAAATATGAATTTTGAGGCGAGTTATGGACATTTCAAATTGTATTGTTTGGAACAATATGGCCGAGTTTTGGATTTCTAGGCCACCACACTAAAACGGCCGTAACTCGCTGCAGAATCGATATTTTTGAAATCTGAAAATTGGTTCAGAACTTCCAAAGCCTGCTTTTTGAAATAGTGTACACCATGGCATAGTTTTCTAAAATTTGGTTTTCCAGGCCACCATTTTAAAATGCTGTAACTTGCTTCAAAATTAATATTTTTCAGTTTTGAAAACTGATTTAGAATTTGAAATCCTGCGAAATAAAACACTTACGCCATGTTTTGAATATGTTTAGAAATATCTTTTCGAAGTTTGGAAAGTTCTCCAAAATTTGAAACGAAAGATGTCAATGTCGGATATTGCTCATTTTTGGAACTTTTCAGTTTTTCCAAATCGGAATTCAGCTCATTTTCCTGAATTTCTTTTGAAATTTTCGTCAACAAGTTGCCCACTTCCACAAATTTCTTTCCTAAATCCACCATGGAATTCAGACCAGAATCTTGGAATTCCTTAGTTTCGGTGGGATTCAAATTCTTCATATTGCTACAGTGATCCTTGTAGTTCTTGGCAAATTTTGAAATTGTGTCCATTTTGCCTTGTGGATTGTCACCGCCTAATTTGTACAATCTCCCCAATTCGACAGACTTTCTAACTGCTAAATTCTTGCGCTCTATGAATCCGTCTTCGAACTCTTTCCAACTCAGCTCATTGTTTTCATCAAGTCTCCAAACTGAAAAATTTTAAATCAATCTATAAGTTCGGAGAATCCCAATGCAGCTTTCAGATTTCAAAAAGTTGATTTTGACGCGATTTATGATCATTTTAGTGTGGTCACCTAGAAATCCAAGATTTGTGAAAACTAGGCCATGGTCCTAAAGAGAAAGTTTTGACAGTTCTATTCCAGTTTTCAAATTTGGAAAATGTTAGGTTTGAGCCAAGTTATGACCATTTCAAATTTGGACCAAAGGTACACATTTTTTGAAACACTTGTTTTAACAATTGCAAAACTTTTTTAAAATTCAAAAAATGTTGATTTTGAAGCGAGTTTTAGCGACTTGAAGTTGGTGGCCTTGAAATCCAAATTTTCGGAAAACTAGGCCATTTTGCATATGGTTGGAAGGCTAAGATTGTGTCGACTCTAACGCCATTTTTAGATTTTTAAAATATTGATCTTAAAGCGAGTTATGAAGATGACCGTGTTTTGGATTTCTAGGCCACCAACCTTAAAATGAATGTAACTCGCTTCAGAATCAATATTTTTGAAGTTAAGAAACTGATTTGAGACTCTCAGAACTTTCTCTTTAGAATTATGTACACCATGACCTAGCCACCGCATCAAAATTACCTAGAACTCCTAAATTTGGGAAAACTAGGCCATAACGGATATCGTGTGATAACTCTTATTTGAAGCTTTTGAAAGCAATTTTTTAACTCGAAAAATATCAACTTTGAAGCGAGTTTGAAGCGATGATAATTTGAATGTCGATGGCCTAGAAAACCAACTTTTCGGAGAGTTAGGTCATAGAGAGTATGGTTAGAAATCCAATGTTCAGAGAATGTCAAATCAATTCACAGATTCAAAAAATGTTGAATTTGAAGCGAGTTATGGTCATTTTAGTGTGGTGGCCTAGAAAAGCAAAACTCGGCCACATTCGTAACTCGCTTCAAAATTAGTTTTTTCAAAATCTAAGAAAATATTTGGAACCCTCAAAGCTTGTTTTTCAGAGCCGTGCACACCATGGCCTAACTTTTGCAAAGTTTGGTTTTCTAGGCCACCAAACTAAAATGTGTGTAACTCGCTTCAAAATCGATATTTTCGAATTCTCAAAACTGATATGAGACTATCAGAACTTGCTCTTTGATTATGTGCACTATGGCCTAGATCCCCAAGATTTGGTTTTCTAGGCCATCATACTAAAATGGTCGTAACTCGCTTTAAAGTCAATATTTTGGAAATTTAAAAAAGGGCCCTACCTTAAAAAATCCAGCCAACTCGGTTCTCAACACATCGACACTTTTGCCTCGCGCCACTTTCTGATTAAACCATTCACTCTTCAAATCATCCACCACTTTTGCCATATCCCCTTTTTCAGGAAATCCCAAAGTGAGAACGATTTCCGAATGCGAAGCGATTGGAAACATTGAATTTAAACTTTCGACGGCTTGTTGGAAGAATATCCCATTTTTCTTGTCAATGGACCATAACGGCTTAGTTATCTTGAACATTTTTTCAAGGATTTTCGAAAAATTCGATGATTGAATTTGGAGTTTTTCGAGAGTTTGGAAGGTATCAAGCAGGGTGTTTAGTGCCAAAAAATGATCAATATTGGATTCGATTTTCCGAAAATTTGTGGAATCTTTTTTCAGATTTTTGAAGCAATTCAAGATGGGTTGAGTGTTTTGGACAAGCCAATTTTGAGATTTTTGAGAATCGAGGTCATCACTTTTCGGCACATTTTGAATAACATCCGGACATGGAAATAGTTCTTCATTCTTGTAAAGTAGGTCAAAAAAATCTTGAAACTCAAAATCTCTGATCCTCGAAGCACTATCATATCCCTCTTTTACAGTACTCAACCACTCCCTTCCAGATTCCAGAATTTTCCAATCGTTTGGTACCAAGTTCGCCAAATCTACAGTTTTATCCTTCAATCTTTGGATTGATGCTGATAAAGCTTCCGGTATATAATTTATTAAATTTGTGAAATTCTGTGGGTCCACCTTCAGAAGTTCTGTGATGACGTCACGAACTTTAACTGACTTCTTTAGAGCTGCGGACTGCAGTGTGATGGCGTTGGTGATACGAGTCAAGGTGGCGAGCTCGTCGTAAACGATTTGGAGGTCGGAAGCTAAAAATTTTGTGAAAATTAAATACACATTTTTTAAAGCTATATTTTCAAGTTTAAACCATTTTTCTAGCTTTTATACTTCTTGAGATATAACGCTTCAAAGTGGTATAAGCCTCATACATTTTGTTAGTTAACCAAATTATTCTAGCTATTACGATTCTAGAGATTTAAAGTTGAGTAAGCTGAAACTAGAGAGGGGAGAGACGCAGAGAAGCTAGAGTATCTGCTTTCTCTGCGTCTCTCAATATATTCTAACTAATATTTTTTAAGTCTTGAATAATAGATTTCTAACTAATAGTTAACATAAAGTATGTAAGAGACGCAGAGAAAACAGACACTCCAGCTTCTCTGCGCCTCTCCCTCTCTCTTCCCACCAACCTCATTGGCTACCCTTATCTTTAAGCGGACATATCTCAAGATCCAAAATAGCTACATCAATTTTGTAAACAAACAAAATGTGTGAAATTTTAAGTTATACATTTTTGTAGTTTTCACATTTTTGATATCTCTTTTAGTTTTAGAGATATAACGGTTTAACTAACCCTTCCCATCCGTCCCATCGCCACTTCCAGTTAAAACCACACCAAAACAGAAGGCAAACAATAGGAAAATGTTGTGGGTCCACATTCGAATGATTCTTACTTTTTCTTTCTTTTTCGAATATTTGTAACAATCAATCTGTATTTGCTCTGGAAAATAGTATTTTCCTCTAATAGAACGGCACTAGACTTTAAGTTCAATGGTCTGGGTTTTTGATAAAATTTTGCTGATATTATGATAAGCATTTTATTAGCTGACCTATTTTTGATATCTCTTGCAGTAACCGAGATAATTGAAATTAAAGGGGGGAGGGGTACTGTAACTTACAAAGTTTGTACGGAAGCAAAATGCCGGTAAATTTTGATTGAATTTTTTTCAGACTGCTGGATTTTCAGTCAAAAAATTTGGCACATTTTCAGATGAGCTGGGGAACGTGGAGCTAAAAGAGACCCAAAAACCTGAACCTATATTTTTGAACTTTTTTTTGATTGGGAATGTTTTTGAACTTTTTTTTGATTGGGAAAAAAAATATTCTAAAAGTTCTCATGATCTAGAAAATCAAGAATCTATAAACCAAAAAAAATCCCAAGAAATTAGAGAATCAGAATCTTACAATTAGTATCCTAGGGGATGGGACCATACCAAGGTCATTCATATGCAGCTCTCACCATCTGCCATTGTCAACACTGCCCTCCTCCTTTTCCCTAATAGTCACTGTCTCGGCCTATTTAACCCTAAAAATCGATGGAGAATCACAATATTTTGGACCTAATTGATGTGTGAGTTTGCTTTAATTCTTGTTAGCATTGTAAAAATAATAGTTCCTTGTAAGCGCACTAACGCCCGTCACGCCGCACTGTGGCTTTTCAAAACCGCTTTCAGTATAATGGGGTTATTCAGGGAGTCGGCAAAAAAGGAAAAAAAAACTCCGCGACAACTCGGAGAGTGTTCCAATCTGGCTATAGGAAACATTTTGCCAAAGTCTGGGGTCAAAATATCGATTTTGAAAATTTGTCTGAAATTCCAGCCAAATTTTCAAAGGTGATATTTTGACCCCAAACTTTTTGCCGACTCCCTGAATAACCCCATTAGAAAGAGGCGGGGGCGTCACTGGCGGCTCGCCACTTTCGGCAAGTCTCTTGCATCTTCAAAGTTTAGGATTACACTTTAAACTCAAGTATCTCTGGGTTCCCAACTATTTTTCCTTTTCAGTGTTATCTTCTCTGTAACCGTCATAATGAGACAATTACGTCTTATCTGGTTGTTCCTGTGCCATTCCTATTTTCCTCTTCATGTCATCGTCTATATGATCAGCACCGGATTTTTCCGGATTGTATCTCTATTCGAACCCCAAAATTCACTGAAGAATCAAACTTCGATGAAGAATCGAGACCGGTTTCCCCTTCTGCACCTCGATTACGTCGCTGTTCGAGAAGTTTTGAATGTTCTCGACCCAATTGACTAGTGAGTTTGTTTCTTTATTTGAGCCTTCCTATTTTTTCTGTAATTCCGCTTTCAAGAGTTCAAATCCGAAGAATTGTTGTGGGCTGAGAAACGCAGAGAAACGAGACGCTCTACCTTCTCTGTGTCTCTCTTGAAGAGCGACAAAGATTGCCTTTTTTGAAGCCCGAAAAAAGTTTTTTAGAATTTCTCGATTTGTCTGAAAATTTCAGAGTATACTAAACAAAAGTAGAAATTCAGTTTTGTAATTGACAACTTTTTTGTATCTCTGTTAGTTTTTGAGATATGAGTCTTTAAAGTGAGAGCGCGCTTAGAGGCAAAAGGAGACGCAGAGAATCATGTGTTTTCTTTAATGGCGCATATCATAATAACTGACATAGCTACAAAAAAGTTGTCAACTACAGAATTGAAGCTCTACTTTTGATTAGTATATTTTGAAATTTTCATAAACATCGATCAATTTTAAAGTACTATTGTAGGAACTTCAAATACACAGGGGCAGCACGTTGCCACTGACTGAGCTGCTAGCGGCGCCGTCGTAGGTTTCTCCGTTCCTGTGAAAGAAAACTAAAAGTGATCAACTAATAAAATATTTTTATATTATGATAAACAATTTGTCAGTTTACCACTCTTTGATATCTTTTGCAGTAACCGAGATAAATTGGTTTAAATCTTGGCGCCACCTCTAGCTAAAATTGTCCGTGGAGCACAATTTTTTAAAATCCTATTTATCTTTGTTCTTGTAAAAGATATCAAAAAGTTGTCAACTGCTAAAATGTTTATCATGATATCACAAACGTTTTATCAGTTGACCGCTTTTGCGTATCTCTCACAGGAAACGAGATAGCTTGGGTCGAAGCTACGGGATCGTTTGGGGCAAGAGAAACGAGACGCTCTAACTTCACTGCGTCTCCCTTGGTGAGGGATGGTCTAGAAAAACCCTAACTAGGGAAGGCCTCAACTCGGATGTGGCGATACGAAGCGTGGTCGAATGGTTAGTGAGGAGGAATATCAAGCGATGATTCTCTGGTTCGACTCCCTCGGGCTGCTAAACTTTTTTTGAATTTTTTCTTTGTTTTTTCTAGTAAAAGAAACTTGAATGAAAGATAACAATAATCTTATATTCCCTTTTTCAGTAGAAACTTCTCGAAAACTTCAAAAGCATGCAGAATCCTCTCGACTACCAAGAAACCCTATAAAGTTGAGCTCACTTTTACGAAATGTCCTGTTTTTATGATTGGAGATGGTACAATCAATCATGCAGTTCGATGGGTTACAAATCAAGAGGAACATGGAATTCGGACAACCCACACATGGCCAGATGAGTTGCGGGAATACGTTTTCGCATATTCTTATAATCCTTTGACCTCTATGAAGGAATTTTATCTGTATGCCAGAAGCTTAATGGGTATTGAAATTCATACTGTGAGGCTGGAGATGATCGAAATCAGAGGACAACTCTGGGAAACTGTTGATTGGTTGCATTCAACGAAGTTCCGGTTTTAAGCATTTCCGGAGATCACCGACAAGAAGATTTGCAATATATTTTTGATAATCTAAAAACTAATTAAAAATTTGTGTGAAAACGATTGAAAATCTCCCCCTGGAAATTCCGGAGACCATTGAAGATATTGCTCTTGGATCATGGATTACGTTGGATTATGTAATGAGTTTGAAAATTAGAAAAATCACATTACTTTGCACACATCTGAACAATCAAGACATCAACCTGATTTATAAAAGTTGGATCGAAATGAAATCTCATCAAAACTTTGAATACTTCGAAATCAATCTAACGAATCGAGAAGATTTCATTGCGGTTGGTCTGCGAGATATCCGATACCGAATGGGACCAACGAGACCTGGATCGTGAGTTTTTTTTCTTTGTTGTTATGGCCAATTCTTTGATCTTCAGACGCCGTTTGTACGCTTTTCTTTTGGGCCCCGCCTTATCTCTGCCAACCATCCGAACTATTTCCTGTAAAAGATATCAAAAAGTGATTAACTGACAAAATGTTTAAAATATTATGATAAACATCTTGTCAGTTGACCGCTTTTTAATATCTTTTACAGGAACCGAGATAAATAAGATCAAAGAAAAGCGTGCTCCACGGACAATTTTAGCTAGAGGTGACGCCAAGGTTTGAACCAATTCATCTCGGTTACTGCAAAAGATATCAGAAAGTGGTCAACTGGTAAAATGATTATCATAATAAAACAAATATTTTATTAGTTTATCACTTTTAGTTTTTTTCACAGGAAGCGAGGCTTCGAGGTGACACGGAACGATGGACTGACAGCGTCGATTTGTGTTTTTCGGCAAATGGCATGATTTTCTGCAATTATGTATACTCGACTTTCTAAGAATCATTAATGTACGACGATCTGACTTGAATTGTACTATTTTCATTCATACATGTTATTATTCATCTTTGTTCTAATCATTTTTGATGAAAAAATTTTGGCAAAAAATTCGGGGGGTACAATGATTCGGGGGTACAAGGGGGTACAACTGATTTAGGGGTACAAAATTGATGATTCGGGGGTAAAAAATTCGTGGGTACAAAAATTCGGGGGTACAACGATTCGGGGGTACAAACTACCAATGATTCTGGGGTACAACTCATTTCATTTAGGGGTACAACGCTTGTGATTCGGGGGTACAATTTTTTTTGAGGGAGTTTCTGAATTTCAGAGCTCGAAAACATCAGAGTTTCAGAACTTCAGAATTTTGAAATTTCAGAATCTACGAATTTTGGAACTTCTGAATTTTTCTCATCTTCCTTTTTTCCATATTCCTCCGTTCTTCCCAATTTTCCGTTTTTTCGCAATATTTCGGTTTTTCTCCATTTTCCATTTTTTCTCAACTTTTCTCAATTTTCGTGGTAATTGAAATTTTTCTTATTTTTTAAATAATTTTGATAATTCGGATTCAATTTTTTTTCAATGTTTTAAAGACAAAACAGAACAATTTTATGTGGCAACAATTCATAGTTGAACAACACAACAGCAACAACAAAGAATGCAAAAACAAAAAAAAAAGGATTAGACAATTAAGAATGACCTTAAGATGAGAAAAAAAAATTGAAGCCAATTGGGGTTTATTTGAAGGAAGCTTGGTAGCGGGAAGGAGGACCTGAGTTTCTCTTTGACTTCTTTCTAGGCGGTGATGGACAGTCTTCTGGTGTTGTTTCGGTGTCTCTGTAATATATTAATGAGCTGATTGAACATTTAAATGAGTCGCTCACTTTGTCTCACTGTCGTCTGAATCATCCGAAAGTCGATGCATGTATCCAATCGGAAACTTTTCTTTGAGAGACATTGGTTTCACATGTTGTCCTGTGGAAACATCGGTCACTTCTTCAGAATCGCTTTCAGGCTTTCTCGAGAACCTTTTCTCCAAGAACATCACGAAGATCGATCTGTGAACTATGATCATTCGAGACACGATTTGATGGCTTCGGCACTGGATTGACATTCTGATATCCGAAAATATCATTCTCCTCATCAGAATCGCTGTCATACTTTCTTGGATCATCAGAAAGATCCATGCAAGAATCATGAGAGTTCAAGTGATCCACAGAAGGGTCAAGGACTAGATTGACATGTTCATCATTGGAATTACAATTAATTTCATCCTCGACGATATCTCCCGACTCATCGAAGACATTGGGTTTAGAATTCAAGCTATTCACATCACAATCACTGTCATTTTCCTCATCACTAGAAATATTCCCATCTGCTTTCCTTTCATCATCACCGCTTTCAGACTCGCCAGAGACATTTCTATTGACCTTCTTGAATTCGGATACAGTTCTCCCGCCGTTATTATGTGACCTTTTAGAGTACTTCCGGTTCGGGTATCTTTTTGCGTCTTTTCCGTCGTTGATTGATTTGATTTGCAAACTCCTCGACAGTGAAATCAAGAACTTTTCGCGAATATTCAGAACTTCTTGGCATTTTTTCGTTGGCAGTGTACTGAGTACAGCGAAGCTAAAAAAAAAACATACTCCAGTATGAAACGCAATTCAAACATACACATGTGAGCAAGTGATAGCAGGTTTTGAAGCACACTTGGGATCCTTGCATTCGATATTTGTTTCGGTCGTTTTCACAACAAAAAACGATTTGTCATCTTTCTCCACAAGATACTGACCGGATTTATGGTAGATTACGTTCTTATTGAAGACTTCTCCAATTTTCATCTGTTTCGGCACACTTCTCCATACGGTTTTCGGCATTTCAAACACATGAGATAACGAAAAAGTACGAAATCCATGTTTTTGCAAAGCTTTAACTTGACTTTGTGCTGACAAAATTCCGGTTTTTTTGAAATTCGCGTATCGGATCAGCTCGCTCTTTCCAGTCAAAATCGACTTGCAAAATTCCTTTTTCTCATCTGTAAAACATATCCAACTTTAGATGTTTTTACAGTCAACCCTACCCTCGATAAATTCCAACAGCTTATCCAAGCAAGTGCGTCCATTTAGTTTTCGTGGAATCGCAATTTTGATTCGTGAATTAAGGTTCTCAATTCGATTCGTAGATGCATAGTTTAGAAGCAGCCCAGCCATCAGACGAGATCGGAGAGAATGGGTTGAAAAGAGATCTTCTTTTCTATCGAGCAACCACTTCTTTAGAGCCGGCGCAAAATTACACTTGACAATCTCCGCTTCCATCGCTTCTGAACTCATTACATTGAAAATTCCATTTTCAACTTCATCTCCAATCTGTCTTCCGAAAATTTTGTTCAAATCTGACTGGCTTATATTCTTTTTACTTTGAATGAATGTCAAGTTGTTTCGACGATGTACTAGACACCTGAGAACTTGAGTGTCTTCCAAATATTTCATCTGAAAGAAACATGAGACTACACAAATTTAAAGTTTTCTATACCTTGCTGTAATATTTAAAAGATTCTTCGCCGTCTGTCATCAGTGATGGAATTGATTTTTTTCGCATAGGATCAACTTGCAGGAAGAAATCGTCAATTTCGCGAGCAAAACTCTTGTGATTTAGTGCATTTTTCGACGAGGAAATCATGAATCCTAAAAGAACATGGCGAATTTTTCCGCTGCAGCGCGATGTGAAGTCTCCTATATCTCCAGAGATTGTTGTCACAACACAATCTGACAAATCAAAAGTGCTATCAATCTGTAACTGTCCAGCCATATGCTTAATAATCCCACTATTTGCTGTCGGACTGTAACAAGATAAAAAATCATTGACTTCTTCTGAAGTCCAATCTTCGCATCCAGTTAAAAGCTTTCTATATTCCAGTACAGTTTGTTTTGTCGGTAGACTATTCATATAAAGATTCAGTGTGTCCGAATCGAGATAAATCGCTCCAAACTGGTTATCTAAAATGAAAAAATTATATTTTCAAAAAAACGTTCCTGTTTACCACTAGAAAATAGACGGAAGCCATTTTCTGTTCCAAAAGATGCGAGTGATTCTGGTGTTGTCACGCTCACGCGGCCCCTCTTCGACTTCACACAATCCGGCTGATACTTCATCTGGTTTCTGATTTGGCGGGTACTGAAATTAGGGCTCCTGATTTTAGATCTTCGAAAGCTCCTTTCACAGTTCTTCCTTTCAGGGACCGATGAATCAATTGACACTCTGCTTCTGAATATTTGAATTTTATATAAACGCTTTTATTAGAGCAAAGTTGTTCTTACCAGTTAGTCTGTTAGGTTTTGATGATTTCAGAACATCGTAGTCCATTCGACCATTTTGAGACACGTATACTACGAAAAAGAACTCTTCCTTCTCCGGATAAATCTCAAATTTTTTGAAAGCATCATCATTAGGATTGATGCAATTGTAATATCTGTAAGAGCATCCATCGTATTCGATCTTTCTGGGTCTCGGACGGATTTTTCTACCTGAAAAGAAAATAATAAAAATGAATTGAAAATCAGCTGATCCTACCATTCGTTGTCTTCCACCAAGACAGTCCATCACAAAGTTTATGATCTTCGTTTCGAAATTTTGCGAATTTCACTGACGGTTCCGAAAACACTGGCAAACGAAAATCGGTGAGATTTGACGATGTCACACTGAAACAGATAACTTGGTTTTAAAATTAAATTTTCTTTTTCAACTGACCAGTTTTCAATGATATCTTTCATCGTTTTAACTGAAAATTTGTTCGAATAGGGACCTGTTCTCCATATGCCATCCTCATCCAAATCAAGCGAAAATTCTTTTATTGGTTCTCCTTTGGCAGATATTTTCGTTTTTTCTGGTTCATTTTGGCCGTCACTCGACATTTTAATTTCAGAATCACTCTCGTCCATTTTGAGATTTTTGTAAAATCACAAAAACGTTCTGAAAAAAAGATGAAAAACGAAAAAATAGGACAATTGGTAGTTCAAAAATACGTCATCGATTACGTCATATGACGTCATCGATTACGTCATATGACGTCATCGATTACGTCATACGAAAAATGAGTCTAGGACTGAAAATGGTGACCAGAACTACTGTGATAGCCAAAAATTCATAATCTTCCACAAATTTCTGCAAAAAAAAATACGAAAAACAGTCGAAAATCGTTGAAAATCGAGAAAATAGGAGGAAAAATAGAAAAAATTGCCTTCGTAAATCGACAACGGCCCCTGGCCTAGAAAATTCCGGAAACTCTTCCATGAGAATTTCGAGCAATTTTTTGGGATTCAAACACAGAACTCACAGTAAAAGACACATTTTCGAGAAAAAAAAGCAAATTTCTTATATAAAAAATTGTTTTAAACACTGACAGATAAAGTACAGAAGTGAGCGATTGGAAACGACGATGGAATCAGCTGAAATCAAAATCCTGGCCTAAAAATAATTTTTTTCAGACAAAAATCCCTTAATTTCCGATTTATTTCTGATTTCGGAAGACAAATAATAGGTTTTTTTTTCATAGTTTTGCTGTCAGAATTCGGAATTCATGCCTTTTCATTGGTTTTTCCTTCATCTCTACAAAGTTTTGTAAACTACAGAAGTGAAAAAAAAACTAAATGAAATCTAACAGAAAAATTTCAGTGCCGAATTGAATTTTAAATTACGTTGTGTCCACTTTCAGATATAGTCGTGGGAAATCTTCCGGAAGTTGTTTTTTCTCAACCTCTTTCACTTTCTTCCTGCTTTAGAAACCACCGAATATGTACGGGTTGCGGTTGAGAAGGGAAACTGGGTGAATTGGTGTAGTGGTGCGCGTGGGTGCACGAAAAACTGAAGTCGCGAGTTCAATCTCGACCAGATCCGAACTTTTTGTTTTTGTGCAACTACCTAGATGTACCCCTTCAGACTGCGTACCCACTCAGTCAATGTACCCCTTGAGCATGATGTACCCTATTTCGATGTACCCCTGGAGAATGGACCGAAATTCTGTCCGAGTTTCTGAGATTTTGAAGTGCTGAAAATCTGAAATTCTCAGACTGTGAAGTTCCGAAATTCTCAGGTTCCGAAATACTGAAATTCCAAAGTTCTGAAATTCAGGAATTCAGAAACTCCCTCAAAAAAAATTGTACCCCCGAATCACAAGCGTTGTACCCCTAAATGAAATGAGTTGTACCCCAGAATCATTGGTAGTTTGTACCCCCGAATCGTTGTACCCCCGAATTTTTGTACCCACGAATTTTTTACCCCCGAATCATCAATTTTGTACCCCTAAATCAGTTGTACCCCCTTGTACCCCCGAATCATTGTACCCCCCGAATTTTTGGCCAAAAATTTTTGTTTTTTTTTCGGTTTTTGTAGAAAATTCAGATTTTGATGAAGTTTTCATAATAGGTCAAGGATAGATACTTCAGAAAATTAAAAATCCTTTCCCCGCGACCACCACTTTCCGCGCGATTGGCTACCACATCTGGTTCTCTATACCCAGTTGTAGAGCTGGTTTCGTGGATAGCGTTTTGCCTGCCACTCACAAGGTCAGGGGTTCGATCCCCCTTCGGTCCAAAATCTTTTTCATTCTTTTTAAAGTTGTGTAAAGATATTTAAACTTGTGAGAAGTGTCTTTGTTACCTTGCAGAAAGCAAAATCGTGCTTCTGATCATTGAAAAAATATTGTTTTTGACTCTGTTTGTATATAATTTGCCTCTAAAACCTACAATTATGATTCCTCTGGGGGAAACCTTAATCCTTTTCTTTTTCTTCTTCTATTTCTCATTTCTCAGAGTCAATAGAAGTATATAAAGCTACTACTACCTTGTGGTTTGTCTTTTAGTGGATTTATTGAAATTTCAAATCCCAAAAAAATGGATGGGCCTCCAAATAGGGAGCTTACTGACGAAGACATTCGTAGATTCACTCAGACTAGACGAGAGCAAGTTTTGAGGGTAATTTACTTTTTTTAAAAAATATTTTTAATTGAAAAAGTAGGATTTTCAGCCAAATACGGAGCAAAATGAAGCAAATGAGCAAAATGGGAATGAGAAATGGGACCCGACAGGTTGCAAGACGTTTTTGGCGATCTGGTGAGTTAGGTTTTTTGGAGTTTCTGAATTTCGGAATTTCTGGATTTCGGAATTTCTGGATTTCTGGATTTCTGAATTTCTGAATTTCTGAATTTCTGAATTTCGGAATTTCTGGATTTCTGAATTTCTGAATTTCTGAATTTCTGAATTTCTGAATTTCGGAATTTCTGAATTTCGGAATTTCTGAATTTCTGAATTTCTGAATTTCTGAATTTCTGAATTTCTGAATTTCTGAATTTCTGAATTTCTGAATTTCTGAATTTCTGAATTTCTGAATTTCTGAATTTCTGAATTTCTGAATTTCTGAATTTCTGAATTTCGGAATTTCTGGATTTCTGAATTTCTGAATTTCTGAATTTCTGAATTTCTGAATTTCTGAATTTCTGAATTTCTGAATTTCTGAATTTCTGAATTTCTGAATTTCTGAATTTCTGAATTTCTGAATTTCTGAATTTCTGAATTTCTGAATTTCTGAATTTCTGAATTTCTGAATTTCTGAATTTCTGAATTTCTGAATTTCTGAATTTCTGAATTTCTGAATTTCTGAATTTCTGAATTTCTGAATTTCTGAATTTCTGGAATTCTGAATTTCTAAATTTCCGAATTTCTGAATTTCTGAATTTTCCATGTTTTGACTTTTTGGAATTTGTGGATTTCCTGAATTTCCGAATTTCTGAATATCTGAATCTGAATTTCTGAGTTTCTGAATTTCCGAATTTTCAATTTTCCAGCATCTCTATGGCATTTGTGGGCCTTTTCATTGCATTCTCCCTCCTTTTCATCGTGATTTTTGCCAATGGATTGCCGACTTCGAAAAATTTCGATATCCCAGAAAATGCAAACTCCAATCAGGAAATAATTCGTCATATATGGCTGAGAATGGTCAATGGGAACAGCAGCCATGTGGGCGGAGCTTAATTCTTTTTTTTCTGAAATTTTTTATCCCAGTTAATTCCTTTCAATAGTGCCCCAAACCTCTCATTTTTCCTTACCCAAAACATTTTTATTTCAATTATTGACTTTTTTCTTGTAAATCCCCTCCCACGCCACCGCCGCTTTCCGCGCGATTGGTAGCCCTCCTCGCGCCCTCGCCTCTCAGTTGCGCAGTTGATGTTGTGGTTAGCGTTTTGCCTGTCATTCACAAGGCCGGGGGTTCGATCTCCCTTGAGGTCCATTCTCTTTTATTCTCTTTAGAGTTGTGTAAAGGTGTTTCAACTTGTTAGAAGTGTCCAGTGTTGAATTTTTTACTCAGACCTCTCCCTATTTTCATCACATTTCCCTTTTTTCCGTCATTTCTCTGTCAATTTTGTAATTTTTTTATTTGTCAAATTCAAATTTTTTTTCTGAAAAATAAAAAGTTTTAGGAATACCTCTTTTTTTAGTTTGTACCTGGAAATTTTTCAGAAGTTTTTAAAGGAATTTCCCTGAAAATTATCGATTTTTCAGATTTTTCGCAAAAAAAAAGTGTAATTCTCGATTTTCTAGTTTATCTTTGCTGTTTCTATACTTAAATTAAAGCATATTTTAACCTGGCAAACAATTTGAAACAAGAAAATTCTCGAAAAAATAGCAGAAGTTCGAGCAAATTTCCGGAATTTATCGATTTATCGGAAACTTTGCGAAAGCTTGGATTTTCTTGCTCATTTTTTGTCGGAATTTGTTGTCTTTGGGCTTAAAATGTGTATTTTAACATAGCGAACACTTTGAACAATAAAGAAAACTGAAAAATGGCGAAATTTGACTGAAAATCGAGCAAATGCGTAAGCGCGCTCTACCGAACTAGCAAAGGTTTGCAGTTCGCGCGGGATGAAGAGAAAAAGAGGCTCTTCTTCCAAACACAAAAGGGGTGTATGCTCTTCTAGAAGAAAAAAGATGTGTGTTATTGGTGGCAAGAAGAAGGGACACGTCCTCTCAGAATAAGAAGACGACTGAAAAGAAGAAGAATAAGAAAAAAACGGAGAAGAGGAGGGGAGGGCAATCGTTGTCGAAAATGAGACACACACTTGCCGTGGCAGAGCTCTCGGAGCATGTGAGCCTCCGTCGTCGTCGCCGCCGCTTTTTTTATTTTCCCGTTTTCGTTCTCGGGTTTTGTCTTCTGCCGCATCGTTTTCGCCGCCGTTGGTTTGCTATATACCGCTTATTCTGACTAGAAGCTTCAATATAGATAGTATTACGGTTGGTTAAGGTCCTTAAGGATTTCTAAACTCTTTTTTGAAAATCCCTTTGGCAGCCGCTTTATAAAAAGGTCCTTCAAAACAAATCCTAGAATCCAAAAATTTTTTCTTGAAATTCCACAACTTTCAAAATTTCCAACTATCCAATTTTCACCAATTTTCACCACCACCACTTTCCTCGCGATTGGCTACCTCCTCACAGTCCTATCCACCTGTTCAAAGTGTAGTATAGTGGTTACTGTTTTGCCTGTCAGGCACAAGGCCGGGGGTTCGATCCTCCTTGGGGGCAAATCGCTTTTTATTCTTTTTAGAGTTGTGTAAAGATGTTCAGACTTGTTAGAAGTGTTGTCAAAATCTATTTTTGCCAGAATTCCTATTTTTGGAACCTAGTTTCCAGGATTTTTATTCAATTTTTTCAAGATTTAGGACTCCTGAAAACTAGAGTATAGTGTTTCAGAAAATGACGACTTCTAAAAACCTGTGAGCCTAAAGATCCAAAAAACACAGATTCCAAAAAATGAGAAATGTCAAACTAATACAAAAATCTAAGAATCTAAGAATCTAAGAGTGGACCACGACCCGTCACATCTCATCTCCTTTTTCATTTCTCCGATTTTCCAAAGAATCTCCAAGACCAAAAGTGCACATGTCCACTCT